CTCCTCCTCCTCCTCCTCCTCCTCCTCCTCCTCCTCCTCCTCCTCCGCCCCCCGTGCTAGGAGTTCGTGCACTCGGGGCTGGAGAGGCTGGACACTACCGCAGACTCCGTTCGCTCAAGTGTCCCCTCCAGGCCAGGCACCTCCCCCACGCGCGCATCTATTACAGATTACATCATGCATGATCCTGTGTCCTCTTTTCTGCGCGGCTGTGGGATGGATGTTCACCTTTGTTGTGTTGACCTCGAGCGCCTCCATGATGCCCCTGAGGAATTTATGAGTACGGACATCGCTGCGGGCACAAGTACTGGAGGGAAAGCGACACATGATCGCTCAGCAGTTGTATCAGACCTGAAGTATCATTCCGTGTTGAGGTGCGATTACCTCGCTGGCAGCCATGTGAACAAGTCGTGCGGCACCGCACTCCTGCTGCGCAAGCGTGTCTTCAAGAGGCGTGATGCGGTGGATGTCCCGACAGTGCCAGCAGCCCTGCAAGCGAAAATGGCGGGGCTGAGGCTTCGCTCGGGTCGACTCGATGCGCGGGCTCCACGCTGCGGTGGCAGCTGCTCCGGCCCACAGCGTCGGCCCTACGCACTTCGGCGCTCCCTCCGCCAGCTGCACCGATCCCATCGCGGTCCTCGAGGAGTGGCAGGGGAAGGCGGCAGGCAAATGTGGTATGCGCTTTGGAGGTCGAATCGGCGCTGGAAGCTGGTCGGCAAGGCTGGCCTGCAGGATCAGGTCCCGCTGCTTCTCAAGCTTTGTGGATGTCACGACAATGGACACCCTAACAGTCCTATCATTGAATTTAAAGTGTGCTTAAATGTCGGAAAAATGTTTTAAACATGTTTCAACATGTTTGCGTCACATGATTAAAAGAAACATGTTTAATACATGTTTTAGACATCTGGAAATTATTTGGCAACATGCTTCCTCTCCACTGATCGTCCTCCACAACTTAAGCTCAACGACGGTTTCGACCTCAGCGCCCCTAAGGCGCCCACCACGGCCCGGGGCTTCGACCGCCTCGCGAACGCGCTGCGCAAGGGCGTGGGCGTTCCCTAGTTCCGTGGCCGATCTGGAGGCGCACTTCGAGGCAGCTGGCGACTTCCACGACCTTCTTCTTCGTTTTTGTATTTTTCCTGCAGGGAGCTCAAGATGGCCAGCAGGGTCCCAGGGCCTCGGACGGAGAACGACAACACGACCACCGCGGCACAATGGCCCACGCCACTTGGCCGAACAGCGGTGAAGAAACAAGGCAACGCGCGGCGGCACCGCGAATGCACAGGAATCGGACAGAGGCTGTCCTGCGAACGTGGCCGAAATTCTGGCCTCAAGTTCCAGGAGAGAGATCCTGATGCAACGCAGGCTCAGTGGGTTACTACTGTGCATTCGACTGCTGAGGGGCACCTCGACAAGAATCGTGGTGCTGACCATCCAGCACGGCAAGATCAGCAGATGAGGAGCATGCTTCTCCGCGAACGGCGACAGGCGCGAGAGGAGGGTCGGGGCGATCTAGCTTCCATTATAATGTTGTGGCGAGAAGACGGAGCAACTGGTGACGGAGCAACTGGTGACGGAGATCGGTGAGGCCTGGCGACAGCGGAAGCATGCGAAACGTTGGCGACTTGCGCGCTTGCTGGCTGGAAGTGCAGTGGCCCTCGACATAGGCGTTTCAATGCTGCTGAGCACTTCCAGCAGCCTGGCCACGCCGGTGGCTTCTCGGCGGTGCCCATGGATTTCGACGACCACCAGCAGCAGCTGACGGAGGACTTGCCTGCGCCACCGCCGCTCGGCTACGACAGTTTCGCGCGCGCCGAGCTTGAGCGGGCCGACCTGGAGACGGTGAAGGAGCTGGTGGAAAGAAGGCCCCTCGTCGCAAGGCGGCGCCACTGCACTCCGTCCCGTCGGAGCTGATCCTGCTCGTGATCGACCCAACGCGTAGGTTCGCGGGCAGCTGCCGACGTCCTCGAAGGAAGAAAAGCACCACGACGGGGACGACGAGGCTGAGGAGCAGCAGCTCGAGCGCACGGAGTTCGCATCACGGCATCACTCGGCTGGAGATAGGAGGGGTCCAGGTACGGAGTCTGCTGCCATCCCGAACGTGGCCAGCTTGACCGAAGGCGCTTCAGAAGATGTTTCATCGAATTCGGCGAGCTCAACGCACACCGGCAGTGTGGCGCCACTCACGGGCGAAGGGGCTCCACAAGCGCCATGGGAAGGGAGGGCTTTGCAGCCCGCAGATAGTTCCACGGTTTCTGTCGCATGGGGGTGCTGTGTTACAAAGCTCAGCTTCGGCGTGGGCCCACGGATACGGTCATCGTGCTACCATAAGGAGCGCCGAATAAGGAACGAAGAGGCTTTTAGGCCGCGGCGAACCTCGGCCACTAACGGGTTCCCCGACCTAGACCTAAGGAACGGCCCGAAAACCCGAGCCCCCGCTGAGCCCAAAGCGTTCCTTATGTCAGCGGCTTTGTGGTTCCAGATCGGGAGCATGGGCATCATCACGGACGGGACCGAGAGCGTGCGCTGACGTTGATGAGCCTGTTTTCCACCACCACCACCACCACCACCATAAGTTGGAGGGGGGAAGGAGGTGGAGGATGAGGAGGAGGAGGAGGAGGAGAAGGAGGAGGAGGAGGAGGAGGAGGGAGAGGAGGAGGAGGAGGAGGGGAGGAGGAGGGACGAGGGGAGGAGGATGAGGAGGAGGAGGAGGAGGAGGAGGAGGAACAGGAGGGGGAGGAGGGAGGAGGGGGAGGAGGCGGAGGAGGAGGAGGAGGAGGAGGAGGAGGACCCCCTCCCCCCTCCAACTTGTGGTGGTGGTGGTGGACAACAGGCCCGGCAGACGTGCCAGGAGGGCGTCAGCTCAAATGTCCAGTTGTTCGTTGAGGAAGTGTCGGAGATCGGCGGCCTCGTCGACGGGGACTTCCTGGCCTGAGTTTGGGAACTTTGTCTCGGCGGGCTTCGAGTCCCGTGCTGCCGTCGCCGCTGATGTCCTCCTCCTCCTCCTCCTCCTCCTCCTCCTCCTGCTCCTCCTCCTCCTCCTCCTCCTCCTCCTCCTCCTCCTCCTCCTCCTCCTCGTTTGAATCCTCCCGTTGCTCGTCCTCGATCTTCCGCTCCGAGCCTGAAAGACCTTGTGGCATACGCCTCTCGTTTTCGAGTGTCTGGGCCGTTTTTCCCTGGGCTGGGGCCCTGGCTGGGCCCGTTCTGTTCTAAGCCTTCATCTGGGGCCGCTCGCTGTGAACCGTCGTCGAGCGAGGGCAACTCGGGGCTCCCACCCCCTAGAGGGGGCATTACGTCATTCGCTATACAGCGCACGGTAGATCGCACATACCTGAATATTGCTCTACGTGTTTCGCTGTGTCGTCTCACTGGCTCGAGACACTCGATCCGATACCGCTTCGCCGCCGCCGCCAGCTCCTCCTCCTCCTCCTCCTCCTCCTCCTCCTCCTCCTCCTCCTCCTCCTCCTCCTCCACATCCTCCTCCTCCTCCACATCCTCCTCCTCCTCCCCCCCCCCTCCTCCTCCTCCTCCTCCTCATAATCCTCCTCATCATCCTCCTCCTTCCTCCTCTCCTCCTCCTCCTCTCTCCTCCTCTCCTCCTCCTCCCCTCTCTCTCCTCCCTCCCTCCCTCCCTCCCTCCCTCCCTCCTCCCTCCCTCCCTCCATCCCTCCCTCCTCCTTCCTCCTCCTCCTCCTCCTCCTCCTCCTCCTCCTCCTCCTCCTCCTCCTCCTCCTCCTCCTCCTCCATTCCTTCTCCATTCCTTCTCTTTATACATAACTCCTCCATGTCGCACCCCGAGGCCAGTCTTTAGGGCGGGCTGGGCGTTTCGCCTGAGACTTCCTCGCCACTGATGACTCTGAAGCTTAAAAGTGACAACAGTTTGACAGATGGAGGGCGGGTCGTTTTCAATATGTGGCTCTCGCCTGAGCGCCGCGCACACTCGTTTAAAAATGCAAGAGTTTAACGGATTGAGGGCGGGTCGTTTTCAAAATGTGGCTCTCGCCTTAGCGCCGCGCGCATTCGTTTCAAACATTTGCAAGAGCTTCACGGAATGAGGGCGGCCAGTTTTCAAAATGTGGCTTTCGCCGTAGCGCCGCACATTCGTTCTAAACATTTGCAAGAGCTTCACGGATTGAGGGCGGGTCGTTTTCAAATGTGGCTCTCGCCTGAGCGCCGCGCACATTCGTTCTAAACAGTTGCAAGAGTTTCACGGAATGAGGGCGGCCGGTTTTCAAAATGTGGCTCTCGCCGTAGCGCCGCGCACATTCGTTCTAAACAGTTGCAAGAGTTTCACGGAATGAGGGCCGTTGCTTTTCAAAATGCGGCTCTCGCCGTAGCGCCGAGCATATTCTATTCAAAAGTTTGCAAGGGTTTCACGGATTCCCATGATCAGCGTACCAGAAATGGTGTTTGGAAGGATTCAGGAGTATGCGGGCGCAACGGTTATGTTGATTCGCTGTGTCAAGTCCCAAAAACGACGTTTTGGCACGATTCTGGATCGTCAAGACGCAGCAGTCAGGTTGATACGTGGCGTTGAAATCCCGAGAACAATGTTTGGCACGCTTCAGGATCTTCAAACTGTTGTCTCCCAACGAGGCGGTTCCCTCAATGGAAATGAACCGTTGTAGGGGCCTATAAAGAGGGAGCTTGAAGAGAGGGTAAATTCCAACATCGTTCATGCCTCTTGGGTTTCCACTGGTCCTCCACCTCCTCCTCTACCACCTCCTCCTCCTCTTCCTCCTCCTCCACCTCCTCCTCCTCCTCCTCCTCCCCCTCCTCCTCCTCCTCCACTTCCTTCTCCTCCTCATCCCCCTCCTCCTCCACCGATTCCAGGGTCCCTCTTCCTCCATCCCACGGGGAGGTCCCCGACCGGCTCCCTCACCAGACGCCCTCGCGTCGCGAGAAGATCGCGACGAAAAGGCAATCAGATAATTCTGCTGCGCCGCTCCCGACCTCCAGGGGCGCCTTCTCCGGGCCCCGGGACTGTCAGAACACGGCTCGGGCCGAGAAGCCGATCCCCGGGCGGGGGCCCAGGCCGCTGACGGCCGGGTGCATCAAAGAAAGAATCTCGACCTCGGAGGCCCAGGTTCTGCAGGACCAGGGGCCGGAGGAGGAGGAGGAGGAGGAGGAGGAGGAGGAGGGGGAGGAGGAGGGGGGGAGGAGGAGGGGAGGAGGAGGAGGAGGAGGGAGGGAGGAGGGAGGGAGGAGGGAGGGAGGGAGGGAGGGAGGGAGGGAGGGAGGGAGGGAGGGAGGGAGGAGGAGGAGGAGGAGGAGGAGGGAGGAGGAGGAGGAGGAGGAGGAGGAGGAGGAGGAGGAGGGACGACGCGGAGCGTGGCGAAGAGAGGAGAGACTAGCAGGGCTGGGAGCAGAAGGGGGAGCAGCTCCGCCGAACCCCGCCACGGGGCAGGCAGAAGTAGCTGCAGGTGGACCTCAAGCAAAAAAGGCATCCGAGGCACTCGCGGGCGCGGGCGGCAAGGCGTCCAAGGCTCCAGTGTTCGGCGAGGCGCGGCTGGATCTGCCCGCGACGCTCGATGGACCCTGGCCGAGCCTCCGTGCCGCGAGGGCGGTAGGAATAGGGGGACAAACAGTGACATACAGTGGAGACCAATGCCAAGAAACACCCCGCTTGCCTCCAGGGAGCCCTGGGTCTCCTGGGTGTCGATGGTTCTGCGATGGAGAGTGCGACGCTCCCACGCCGAAAGATCCATGGACGTCCTGGGGTCTCAGGGTTGGGTTTCTTGTGGAAGGTTTCTTGTGGACTGGCCTCCACTGTAAACATTTAAACTAGGAGGTTCGCGCAGATTTCTCGGATCGGCGCTGCTGGAGGCCCCCTGTGGCGCCTCTGGCGCCACTCCTGGCGCGCTCCGCGCGCCAGGGAGGGTGGTCAGCGCCGATCCGAGAAATCCGCCTGTACCTCCGAGTTGTTATGTTTAGGTCATTGCTTGTTCCCCTAAGGAAGGCGCCAGCTGCTCACCTGCCGCGCGCCAGGGAGGGGGGGCAGCGCCGATCCGAGACATTCGCGCGGACCTCCGAGTTGTTATGCTCATGTCATGGCTTGTTCCCCCAAGGTTAGGTCGGACATGTCCTCCTACGGGAGGATGTTCGAAGAAGTACTCAAAGGTATTCTAGAATACTCGAAAACATCGTCCCCTGACGATTGACTATGTTTGAATTCTCCTCCTGCAGAGGGGCGTGGCCGACTTTAGCCCAAGGAAGGCGCCAGCTCGGGAGCGGCCAAGAGGGGGGTGTCCAAGAGGGGGGGGGGGGGGGGGGGGGGCAAATCATGACCGGCAGCATGTGCGCGGCCCAGCGGGGGGGCCAGGGACGTAATGAAACAAGAAGAGGCGCCATGAAATCTGGGGAAATATCATGGCCCACGCCATGATATCCACCCCCCCCTAGTCATCACCCACCTCTTTTCCGCCCCCGACCAGCTGCTCACCTGCACCGACCCCGAGCAGCCGGTACCTACGCCCGCCCGCCCCGGGCGCAGCAAGGCGCGTGCGCACCGAGCCCGGGCCCCAGGGCCGGCCTGGCCGGGTGCAGGTGCGGGGCGTGCGGCCATCGTGCTACCACCAGAGGCCTCCCAGATGGGGTCGGAGCAGATGGGCTCGGAGGATCGCGCCGCATCCGCGATGCATCGGCGATGCACCGGCGATGCACTGGCGATGCACCGGCGATGCATCGGCGATGCATCGGCCACGTCGGCGATGCATCGGCGACGTCCGCGTGAAAGAAATCGGGCTCCGCATCGAGCCGAATCGGCGATGCATCGGCGATGCGGCGCGATCCTCCGACCCCATCTACTCGGACCCCATCTAGGAGGCCTAGAGCCATCGTGCTACCACGAGGAACGCTGCATGATTCGGCGGCGAGCGAGGGGGGGAAGCGAGAATGAGCAGGCCTTCTCAGGAGGCGGCGGGACTTCTCGGAGGCCCTCGCGCCTTCTGGGGAGGTGTTCTGCGCTATCGGGAGAAGCTTAGACAACTTCTCAGAAGGCCGGGGTACTTCCGAGCTTTCAGCTTTGGACGCCCGAAATGAGTACGGAAAAAAAGGGCACAATACCCAACAACAAATGTTGTCCCAAACCAACAGCGGCCGCCGTTGGGCAGGCGGCCTTCTGCCTCGAACGGACACAGGCCGCGGCGTCGTGGACAGCGAATCCTGTTCAAAATGAACAGGAACTGCTGTTGGGCATTGTTAGGGGGCCAGATGCGAACCCTACCCCTACCCCCCACGATTTCTGAGGGGGAGGGTGGGGTTCACTTCGCTCGGGAGCTCCCGAACGAAGTGAACCCCACCCTCCCCCTCGGAAATCGTGGGGGGTAGGGGTAGGGCTCGCATCTGGCCCCCGAATTGTACCCACTCTTTCCGTACCCATCTCGGGCGTCCAGATCCTCCCCCCGCGGGCTCGCCGCCCAGTCACGAGGAACGAGGGTGCTCCTCGGACTACCTACCAAACCACCCCAACCCAACCCGAAGACCGGAATTTGACCCGAATTTCGGGTTGGGGGGGGTACGGATACCATGTGTTTTTTCAACGTTCCCCGACCCCCCCCCACTGGAATGGAAGGCAAATTGAGGGCTTCGGGTTGGGTTGGAGTGGCTTGGTGGGTGGTGCTCCTCTGGCCGCGGCGAGGCCCGGCCGCGGAGGGGGCCCCCCGACCCACGCCCGAGGAGCGGCCCGGAACACAGCGCGCCTCCCACCAGCCCAAAGCGATCGACGCCAGGGCTGGACCCAAACGGTGTTTCTCTCTCGTGTTCGCCTTGTCTTCGCTTTCCCTCGCTGGCTATCTACCAGACCACCCCAACCCAACCCGAAGACCCGAATTGCGGGTTGGGGGTGGGTATGGGTTTCATATGTGTTTTTCAATGTTCCCCCCCACGCTGGAAATGGAGGGCAAATTTCGGCCTTCGGGTTGGGTTGGGGTGGCCTGGTGGGCGGTGACTCGTGTTGTCTTCGCTCCTCCTTTGCTGCAAGACGAAGTCGAAACGATCCAGGCACCCCTGGCACGCCCTCGGCGAGGCGCAGCTGCCAGAGGGCACCCCGAGGCCCGCAAGCTGGCGGGGAGCCGACGGCGACGCCCGGAGAGCCTCGAGCGCCGACCGCAGCCCAGGAGCCGCGGCGCCCTCCTCTCTCGGCGCCTCGGCCCCGAGGCTGGAACGCCGGCGGAGGGCCGACGGCGACGCCCGAGGCACCTCGAGCGCCGGCCGCACCCCAGGAGCAGCAGCGCCCGCCTCTCTCGGCGCCTCGGGCGCGCAGCCGGCGCCCTGCGAGCACGCGCGCAGACGTCCGCCGGAGGGTGCGAGGCGGCGGGGGGTTCGGGCGCCGCCCTCGCCAGCGCGGCATGCACACGGCGGGGAGGGTCGGAGCCGGGAGCGGGGGGGGGGTCGGCGGGGGCGGGGAGGTGGGCGGGCACGGCGTGGAGTGCGGGCGGGAGGCGGGGACTCTGGGTCGCGAGGCCGTCCTGGGAGGAGGAGGAGGAGAGAGGAGGAGGAGGAGGAGGAGGAGGAGGAGGAGGAGGAGGAGGAGGAGGAGGAGGAGGAGGAGGAGGAGGAGGAGAGGAGGAGGAGGAGGAGGAGAGGAGGAGGAGGAGGAGGAGGAGGAGGAAGGAGGAGGAGGGCGGAGGAGGACGGAGGAGGAGGAGGACCCAGCCTGCGAGGGGAGCGCGCGTCTTCTTACAGCGCCCCGCTCGCGCCGCTGGCCGAGCCACTCAGGAGGAGGAGGAGGAGGAGGAGGAGGACGAGGACGAGGACGAGGAGGACGAGGAGGACGAGGAGGACGAGGAGGAGGAGGAGGAGGAGGAGAAGGAGGAGGAGGAGGAGGAGGAGGAAGATGGGGAGGAGGGGTGCATGCGGGGCAGGTTTAAGGCCGTCTGGGCGCCTCGCTTTTTGCTTTCCCAGTGTCCGAGCACCTCTCCTGCTATGTGGTTGGTTGAGCCTGGTGTGGTGCCGATGGGTCCTGGGAGAGACACCTAGTTTTCCCTTCGTGGGGTGGAATGCCCAGCCGGGTCATTCGAATTCACTCGCTTCAGACCTGCGTCGTTCCGACCCTGTGGCACTACCTGAGACGTGAAACCTAAGGGGGGGGGAGGAGGAGAGGAGGAGGAGGAGGAGGAGGAGGAGGAGGAGGAGGAGGAGGAGCGGCATTCGGGGGGTTAGGAGGAGGAGAGGAGGAGGAGGAGGAGGAGCGACGACGACGACGACGACGACGACGACGACGACGACGACGACGACGACGACGACGACGACGACGACGACGACGACGACGACGACGACGATAACGACGACGACGACGACGACGACGACGACGACGACGACGACGACGGCGACGACGACGACGACGACGACGACGAGAACGGCATGGATGAAAGCGGGGAAAAGGATAACGGGGACGAGAAGAACGACGGGGAGAATACCGAGAGGGAAGAGGACGAGGAGGAGGATGAGGATGACGAGGGTGAGGCGGACCAGAAGGACGAGAAACAAACAAATGATGGAGATGACGGGGAGGAGGACGAGGAGAATGAGAAACATTAGGAGGCGAAGGCGGAGAGCGGTGAGTGAGGATGGGGAGAGCTCGGAACTCGAACTCGGGGTCCGCGAACAGCGGGGTGGAGGGGGGAGGAGAGGCAAGGGGCAGGTGGAGGGAGAATGGAGGAGGGACGAGGGAGGACGGCGGGGACGGCGAAAGAAAAAGGAAGGGGGCGGGGACGGAAAAGGGAGGAGAACAGAAAGGAGGGTGACGGACCCACTACCATTGAAGCAAATGCCACAAAGAGTGACGAGCGATGCAGGACCACAAGGCGCTCAGGGAACTATAAAATCCCAGAGCCTGCCCCCCTGCGCCCAATGGTAATGCAACCTCCTGGCGCGGGCCACGCGCCTACACGGCATGCACAGAGAGTATGCACATCGCACACCTTGCGCCGGGCCAGATGGGTCCGGGTGCTGTCGAGAAAACTCCGGGCGAGCCGACGCAACGGTGGTAGGAGCTCTAGAAGAGGAAAGAAGGGCAGAAACTTTTGGCGATCCGCGCAGATTTCTTCGATCTGCGCTGGGCCCTACTCCCTGGCGCGCGCAGCGCACCAGGGGCGGCGCCAGAGGCGCCGCCCGTGGCGGAGGAGGAGGAGGAGGAGGAGGAGGAGGAGGAGGAGGAAGGAGAAGAAGGCAGAGGAGGAGAGAAGAGGAGGAGGAGGAGGAGGAGGGAGCAGGCGGAGGAGGAAGAGGGAGAGGAGCGGAGGAGAGGAGGGAGCATGGGGAGGGAGGGGGAGGCGGGAAGGAGGAGGGAGGGAGGAGGAGGAGGGAGAGGAGGGAGGGAGAGGGAGGAGGGAGGGAGGAGGGAGGAGGGAGGAGGAGGAGAGGAGGGAGGAGAGGTAGGGAGGAGGCGAGGAGGGAGGAGGAGGAGGAGGAGGAGGAGGAGGAGGAGGAGGAGGAGGAGGAGGAGGAGGAGCGAGGAGGGAGGACGAGGGACGGGAGGGAGGGAGGAGGGAGGAGGGAGGTAGGGAGGGGAGGGAGGGAGGGAGGGAGGGGAGGGGAGGGAGGGAGGGGAGGGAGAGGAGGAGGCATGGAGGGAGGAGAGGAGGCGGAGGGAGGGAGGAGGGAGAGAGGTAAGGAGGGAGGAGGAGGCGGAGGAGGGGAGGAGGCGGAGGAGGCGGGAGGAGGGAGGAGGGAGGATGGAGGAGGGGAGGAGGGAAGAGGGAGGAGGAGGAGGGAGGAGGGGGAGGGAGGAGGGGAGGAGGAGGGAGGAGGGAGGAGGGAGGAGGGAGGAGGGAGGAGGGAGGAGGGAGGGAGGGAGGGGGAGGAGGAGGAGGGAGGAGGAGGGGAAGGAGGAGAGGAGGAGGAGGAGGGGAGGAGGAGGAGGGAGGGAGGGAGGGAGGGAGGGAGGATGGAGGGAGGGAGGGAGGGAGGGGAGGGGGAGGCGGGGGAGCGGAGGGGAGGGGAGGGGAGGGAGGGGAGGGAGGGAGGGAGGGAGGGAGGAGGCGGAGGAGGTGAGGAGGAGTAGGGAGGAGGGAGGAGCGAGGAGGAGGAGGAGGAGGGAGGAGGAGAAGGGAGGAGGGAGGAGGGAGGGGGAGGAGAGGAGGGAGGAGTGGAGGAGGGGAGCGAGGGAGGAGGGAGGAGGAAGGAGGAGGAGGGAGGAGGGAGGAGGGAGGAGCTGTAGGGAGGGAGGGCGAGGAGCGGCAGCGGGGGCGGAGGGGGAGGAGCAGCGGAGGCGAGGGACGCGCGAGGAGGAGCAGGGGGAGGAGGGGCGAGGAGGGGACGGCGAGGGAAGCGCGAGGAAAAGCAGGGGGAGGGGGCCGGGAGGAGCAGCAGCGGCCCAGAGAGCAGCAGGGGAGCGGGCACGCCGAGGAAAGAGGGGCGGCAGGAGGGGCAGGAGGGGCGGCAAGGAGGGAGAAGGAGGAGGAGGAGGAGGAGGAGGAGAAGAGGAGGAGGGAGGGAGGAGGGAGGAGGAGGAGGAGGAGGAGGAGAGCGGAGGAGGGAGGAGGAAGAGGAGGAGGAGGAGGAGGAGGAGGAGGAAATGGAGGAGGGGGTCAAACAAAATGAGCACGGCGAAGGTAGGGGGGGGGCGAGAAGGAGGGGGGGCGAGGGGGAGCGGGGCGAAAAGGAGGGCGGGCGAGGGGGAGGAGGGGCGAGGGGGAGGAGGATGGGGGGGGCGAGAAGGAGGGGGGGAGGAGGACGAGAAGGATGGGGGCGAGAAGGAGACGGGGGGGGGGGGGGCGAGGGGCAGGAAGGCAGCCCAGCTGGACCAAGAGAAAGAGCCTGGAGGCAATTAAACCGATGAGCTTAAAACAAACAAGCGTCGCTTTGCAATAGCTATATCAGTCCATCCCTCCCGTCTTCCTCCTCACTTTCTCATCATCCTCGTCCTGATTTATGGAAGCATAGGGACATAAAGTTAGACACCGAAGTTACTGAAGTGCAGGGCACGTCTGAGCTGCTGGCTGCAAACTAGGCCGACGAACTTACGCGTAATCGGAAAATGGAGCCCACAAATCCGAATGTATAACTTGACAGTGTGCTGCACATGCGTGGGCAATCGCAACTTGACTGCAGGACACGTCCGAGAATATACCAAGCCGGCATGAGGAAAATACAAGAATTGGGGCCCCAGAGTGCGAACGCAAGGCCTGCTAGCTAGGGCCTAACCTCGCCCGGAGACCGTTGGTTGGAGTCCACCAGCACACGAGCGCACGTCACATCCACTCGAGGGACCTTGGCTGCCTGAAACCAAGCGGCCTACGCATGAAAATATCAAGCCTCACTGCGCCTCACCCGGTGCTTTCTGGCCTCCTTGAGCTCCACGGTGGGCTTGGGAAAGGGGCGCCGCACCCCATGTGCAAGAATCACTGGCTTGCACTCGTCCGGCACCAACTTGTGCATGATGGGACTGTTCCGGTAATTCGCCGGCCCAACGGGCCAGAGGCGTGCTAAGATCTCCGGTAACTGGTTAACAATATTTCTAGTTCGCGCGCGCGGGGCGGCCCCTGGGGGTCCCCGGGCGAAAAGTACCCCGGGCAAGTTCTGGGAGGGTCGGATCAGAGATGCCAGACTGGGCAATTTTTCGACACCCCCTCACGAGGATAGTGGCATCCGAGGGGGGGGAGCGGGGGGGGGGGCGCAATCGACTACCCCCCCTCCTGCCCCAAGAGGCTCCCAAGAGCCCCCCAAGAGGCCCTTGGGGCCCCCAAGACGCCGCCAAGGAACCCCAAGAGACTCCCAATAGGTCCCCAAGAGGCCCCCAAGAGTTCCTAAAGAGGGCTCCATGGCCGGCGGAATGAGCGAAGCGATTGAATGCTTGATGTTTGCGCTCAACCCCTGCAGCCGGCTCCACTCCGTACTGCAGGCGTTGGAGGCTGAGAATGGATGCCCACTGAAACCGTCGAAGAAACCCTTGAAGCACTCGGCAGCCGCCACTGTGGTTAGATTGACGAAAGCGTACCCGGTGCCCTCCGAGGTCTCAAAGTCGACGGGGAGGTAGACAAAGTTGAAGCGCCCCGCGTAGCCGCGGCTGTCCAGCAGGTCGATCAGCGCCTCGCGCCTCCAGCTGCGGGGGAGGCCGCGCAGCAGCACGGTGGTGCACCCGGGAGCCCCTGGCCGAGCCTGGGCCTCTGCCGCGCCGCGGCCGCCCTCGCGCTCGGCGCCGGCGCCGACGAGCGCCGCCGCGCACCAGGTGCCCGGAGCGGCCGTCGCCGGGCGGAGCGCGGAGACGAAGGGCCTCGACTTCGTGCTGAGCGGCGTGCGAGCGCCCGCGCCCGCGCGGGGGGGCAGCGCGCACGCGGGGGCGCCGCGCCCGGCCGCCAGCCGCACGGGCAGCTGCGCGGGCGGGCCGCAGGCCTGGCCCGCCGCCAGGAGGGGCCCGTCGTCGTCCACCATGTCCGCCCACAGCAGCGCCTCGGTGAGCCGCCGCTCCTGGCCGCAGCCAGCCACGGAGTCCCCGTCGGAGGAGCCCTGCAGGGCAGCTGCGGCGCCGTCCTCGTCGGAGCGCGGGCGGTCTGGGCCCCGCCTTTCGGAGGGCGCTGCCTCCGCCACCGCCTGGCGCAGCGCACAGGGGTCCGACCTCGGGCTTTCGGCGGCCACGGGCGCCATCGATACGGTACTAGGCACGAAAGTGCGTGTGGCCGTGTGTGTGTGTGTGGAATCCAACCGGGCCCTCTGGGCGCAGGCGGCTTCTGATGAGAGCTCGCATTATGATGATCAGTATCCTTCTTCTTACCATGAGTGCTATTATCATGCTTATTCGCATCGCTCTGATAGCATTGTTGCTCGTATTATTCAAACCCCTCTCTTCGCCGCAGGGAGGGGCTTAAGCCCTCCCCCTACCTCCTCACCTGAATCTGGACGGGGGGAAACCGAGGGGCTAGAGCGTCCAAGACGGCTCAAGATGGCTCCAAGCTGGGCTCACAGCGCCCAAGATAGCCTCCAATATGTCACAAGATAGCCCAGCATTGATCAAGATAGCATCCACCATGCCTCCAAGAGACTCCAGGATGGATCCAAGAGACCCTCGAGAAGCCAAGCAATGTCAAAAATTACGATTTTCAACTAGGGAGGCCTTCTCGGCTTTCCGTTTCCGACGCGTCCTGTCTGAGGCCTCAAAATGACCCCAGGATCGCCCGAGGAAGCCCCGAAGGTGCCCAATGGGGGCCCAAAACGGCCCGGAAGGCCACCAAGAACGGTCTCAGACCGCCCCAAGAGGGCTGCAAGAGGCGACTGGTCGTCCTCCACACATGCAACCCTGATCTGCACCGCCTACCTTCTCGTTGAGAAAACAAGTAAACTTTCAAACGAAGAAGCTCTGTGTTTGAACGTGTTGCAAGACGCTTCAAATTGCCTTAATATGGCATCCACTGGGCTTCGGAGAAGCCCCAATACGTCCCCCAGACGGATCCAAATTGCAACGGAGCCTCCCAAGGGCGCCCCCAATTGGGCAAAATCATTCAACAAACAATGGTTGCTCGATAAGTTTCGCCGTTTCGCTCTTCTGCCTTTGGTAGCGGTTCCAAGATCGCCGAAGGGAGCCCCAAGAGAGGCCCAGACAGGCTACAGGCGGACCCCAAGAGCGCCCCAAGAGCGACGCTAGAGAGAATTGAATGAGGAGGAGGAGGAGGAGGAGGAGGAGGAGGAAGAGGAGGAGGAGAAAGCGGAGGAAGGGGAGAAGAGGAGGGGGGCCCAAGAGGACTTCAAGAGATGATGCTTCAGGCTCCCGGGGGGGGACGGGTGCTCCTCGCAGGGCCTCCAAGACTTCTGAAAGGGGCCCGCGGGAGCCCCGAAGGCCTCCAAAATAAAATGGCCTCGTCCACCCCCAACTACACCCTGCGAAATGCTTTAGAAATCATGGGTTAAGAAATTGATAGTCTCAGAATTCAAATAAAAACCCAAACTGCCCATTCAAATCTTAGGATTTACATTGAAACATTAAGAATAATCGAGACTCTGGCCGAAAACTTAGGTTTTCTTAAGCATCGCCTAAGGTGTACTGCCCCAAGCAATCTGCCATGTGCTCCCGGATCGAGGGATCAACGAAGGCCTTTCTGATGGACTCCTGGGTCTGCCGAGGCTGAACCCGAGCTTTGGTTTGAGTGCTCCTACAATTCGCCTGGTGATCGTTTCTGGATGGGCTGGTGGGGACGCGATTCGTGATCCAACTCCGTGTTTTGGCCAAACTGGCTTGACACGAATAACTACGAAGGATTAAGCGGACGGGCAATGGGAGGACGAGGACGAGGAGGAGGACGAGAAGGCTCAATAGGAGGAGCATGAGGAAGAAACGCAATAAGACGAGAAGTATACGGGGGAGCTGGGGGGCGGAACACGAGGAAGAGGGGGGGATGTGAAAAAACGAGCCACGGTATCGCGTCCGTTCACAGCCACTGTCGTAATTACCCATAAATCGGGCGATGGTCTCGCGTCGGGATGGCTATGCTTGCATATCAGAACCATCGCGCGCGATGCCTGCATCTCAAACAAGCACTGGAAGTGATGCCTCGGGCATCTTGGTTTTAACGATATGAGTGTCCCCTTGGCGCACTAGTGTGACTTCATGGAAGGGAGGAAGCGGCGAGGAAGGTGGAGGGAGAGGGAGCACGTGAAGGAGGAGGAGACGCAATAATAGGAGTGCTGACAACGCGGAGGCAGGAGGAGGAGGAGGAGGCAACGGTGAGGAGAAGGATAAGGAGGGGCAAGAGACAGTATCGAGGACGCCTGAGGCGAGTCGCCGTTGCGCCCTGCCTTTGTGACTGGGTCGCCCTCTTGGGGGCCTCTTGGAGGCCTGTGTGCGTTTGAGTGCGGCCTCTTGGAGGCCTCCTGGCGGCACCACAGACTGGAGCCGACTGGGCTGTCGCGGAGACCACCTTGGGATTCTTCGAGGGCCCCCTCGGCACGCCTTGGACATTTGGAGAATGTTGGGGGCCTCTTCGAAGCTGGTTGGGCGCCTCCAAGGCGCTCGTGGTAGCATCTGAAGACAAGAAGCACGGAATCTTCGAAATGCCCCCCACACCACCAGCTACAGCATGAAAAGCAGCATTCACAGCAAGACTGCTCGCTCTTCGCCGACCGCGTGTCACTCAACATGTACACCCCGCACCCTCGACCCCCGCCCTCTTCGCAATTGAACTCACCCCCCTCTGGAAGGCTTTGTCGTGCCACCCCCTGGGAAACCCACAAAAGCGGGTCGAACGAGCGGGTCGGGTCGGGCGGACGGACCCCGCCGGGCGATTCGTCGGGCGAGCCGGCCCCAACGAGCGGGACGGGCCGGGAACCAGAGTGCGCAACGGGCGGGTCCGGCGGGCGGGACTCTCAAGCGGGCGCCCTGGCTTTCAAGCAAGCGGACGGAGGGGGGGGGCCTACTGGGCGGGTCGGGCGGCGGACCCTCGCGGGCGGGTCGGGCGGGTCTAGCAGGCGAGCCTCAGCGGGCGGATCGGGCGGGCGCACCCTAACGGGCGCACTGGGCGGGTGGGACGCGCGCCCAAGCAATCAACCTGGCGGACCCTAACGGGCGGCCAGGATCAGTCGGCATCGAATCGGGAAGTTGGATCGCATTTGAGTGCGCATCAGAAAGTGCGTCGGATCGGGCCGCATCGGGCCACGGAGCCGAGATCGAAGCGGATCGGCCGCGCCAAGATGCACAGCTACGCCGTGCAAGAATCGGGCCACGTCGGGTCGGCAAGAAACCGAAGTCGGACCAGATCGATCCAGGTGCTGCGCGGCTGGCTGGTGCCCCCTCGACGGAGCCTGCGCCGACGCACCGCGCGCCCGCGTGCACCAGGCAGCCTTCTGTCGCCCAGGCCCCTGCGCGCCGAACGGCGCGGCAGCGGCGCGAAGCGGGCACTCGGGTGCCGGCGCGGAGTCGGCCCGTTTCCCCTCGTCGGGGCCTGCGCCGCCTCCTCCTCCTCCTCCTCCTCCTCCTCCTCCTCCTCCTCCTCCTCCTCCTCCTCCTCCTCCTCCTCCTCCTCCTCCTCCTCCTCCTCCTCCTCCTCCTCCTCCGGCGCACTGCGCACCCAGTTGCACCAGGCAGCGGCATCGGATTGGACCGATCGAGTCGACAGGGGGCCCGGCGGGTCGGACGGGCGGACCCTGACGGGCGGGCTGGGCGGGTGGGCCCGGACGGGAGGGTTGGGCGGCCACCCCCGATCGGGCGGGTCTGGCCCGGCGGGCGGCAAATGAAATCTCCACTCCTTTGTAAAGGACGTCTCGGGGGCGAGAGCGCGATTCCTGACTGAACTCCGCAGCAGCGAGCGCGATTCCGAAATGAATCGTGAAGGAGCCCAAGAACGGGAGCGCGATCCTTGAGGAGATGACGACGAGAGCAGAGGCCTCCACGAGTCTCAACCTGTCAGAGGTCCTCAAAGTTACGGGTCGAAGGCGATGTGTCTGAGGGGTTGGCAATAAGACGAAGCCAGGACGAAGATCAATTCGGGTGAGGATAAGTCGAGAATCTCTTAGATCCGGCGGCTCTGGAGGATGTCTAGGTCGCCGCGTCATGCTCAGAGCGTTCCCGAACCGGTATTCTCAGAGCGTTCCAGAACGCTCTCAGAGCTTTCAAGAAAGCTCTGGAACGGATTTATCCTCGTCCTGGCCCCATCCGAGGCAAGGCGGTCGTGTCAAACCACCCGCCTGCCTTCGGTGCGTCCCCGTCTTGTGGCGTGCGTGGCCCAGGGGTCGGTTTGGCGGGCGCGCTGTTGATCCTCCGGTTGCAGAGCGGCCGCGTCAGGGGCAACGTCCCCCCCCCCCCCCTGGGGCTACGGCGAACACACGCCCTCCCCAGGAGCAGGAAGTCACAGCCGCCGGATCATAGTTTCCAAGTCGATTCAGAGCCCTCCGTCCTGTGGGAGAGCGCCTACTATGGGCTCCTCTTGGGGGGAACTACAACCGTACTGTTCGGGTGCTGGCGGATGGTGCCACATTCAGGTAGTCCCCTCTCCTAGTCATGTGGATTGGGTGCGGGACTGCGCTAACCTCCCCGGATGTCATGCCTGAGAGGGCGGTTGGGGCTCCGGCTCTTTCTTTCCCTCTTGGCCCCACCCGGGGGCAGGCCGGGGCTGTCGTTGGTCCAGGAAACCCAGCACATGATGTCACATGTTGTTGGGTCTTTCAGTCGTTGTGCCCATATCCCATACTGGACCCTATAGGATATGTTGTGGCAGCTCGGAGAATCAAGTGCGAGCGTCGCTGCGCGCTCTGGAACTCTGGAACACCATCAACAAAGCACCCAACGTAAGAGGTGGTGTTATATCTCAGTGGGCAACGAAGCTAAGAGTTGATGGGGCGATTTGGGTATCGGACTTGACCTGCAGGGGATGGGGTGCGCAAGAGATTCCTACAACGCATATTGTGCTTTTTGTGGGGGCGCAACGATGACACGGCCTGTGCTCTTCCCGCGGCTCTCCCCTTCCTGGTTCCAGCGTTGCGCATTGTCCGTCACGAGGGGTCGTTTAGCCGCGCTTCCGGGCCGAGGGCCCAAGCTGCGACGATTGCCTCTACGCAGGACCATCCTGCAGGGGGTGGAAGGGGGCAAACCCTTGGCGCCCAGCACCGGCGTTCGCCGGCCGAACGCCCCCCGCAGCCCCCCCGCGGCGGGGGAAGCCCCCGGAACGCAGCAGGGGGTGGGGTGGCGGGCCTAGCCTGGTCGTGGGGTGGTGGCGGAAGCGAAGCACCCGCTGCCCTCAGGTCGGGCACGCTCTCCGACGGGCGGACTTTGGAAGACACCTCCCCCAAAAAAACAGA